CGAGCCGAGCTTTATTAGGCTCGAGCTCGAGCTCGGCTCATGGCCACCCCTAGTTCCAAACACACACTTAATTGCAAATGATGTGATTTCTAGGGGTGAGCATTTGGTTTATTTGGTTAAAAATTGAATATAATAAATCAAAATTTAAAACAAAAAACTAAACCAAAACTGAATTATAAGAAAACTGAAATAAATTAATTCAAAAATTTCAGTTTGATTTTCGACTATTTTGGTTAAAACCGAATTCAATAATATATAATATATTACATTTATTATAACATATAGTATATAATATATATTGTGAAACAAAATTTCATTATAATATATTATTTATTATACATTTCCGAGTCATTTTTTAAAACGTTGCAGTTGGGTTTGGCATGGTTCCATAGAATTAATTCTAATGATTTATATGATTCTAAGAATCACTTTTAAGTTTGAATTTATGAAAATTGTTAGAACTAATTCTTTTTTTGGGGCTCAAAACCTATTCTAAGAACCAATTCCTTATTAACTTCAAAAGAATAACTTCTCTATAACTCATTCTTCAGATAATTATTCATTGAAGCAGAATTGTAACCAAAGATGGTAGTAAGCAGTAGAAGAGTTTAAATTAGGCAATCATGATTAATGTGCTAAAAAGCTTTGTAAAGGTATTCCATGGGAAATCTAGTTTGTTTATGAATATGGTGGAGACCCATATTTTTTTTATTTTGTCATAATAGAAAGAAGTCTATTATTTAACCCATTTATGGAGGCCCCATTCATTTTTTAGGAAGTTAATTACTTGGGTAAATATTTCTTAGGAAACACTTACATAAATAAGTATTTCCCAGAAAATACTTACCTGTGTAAGTACATTTATCCATATTCTTTTATTTCCCAGGTGAATAAGACAATGACCGTTTTAACCATAAACCAGTATTAAAAGGGGCAATTTTGTCCTTTCCAAGTGTTGGCAGCTTTCCCTAGGTGGAAAAGTTATGCACATGGGAGATGGGTATCACGTACCCGGATAAATAAGTGATACCCATGGAAAATAACTTTTCCATAAACTTCACATTAATCTGAAAGAAAAAAACATGGATTTCTTGATCAATAGGAACCAAAATTTAAATATTTCTCTTGCATGAGAAATGTTTAATACTTAATAGACCAGCATTGATTTCAGATTCAATTCTGGCAATTACAAAAAAGGAAAGGAAAAAATAATTATATTTCAGAGCATAGTTGGAATTTAATGTGCTTCAGATTAGTAATTTTAGTGTCCAAATAGTCTTTTGCTTTATCTTTCAAGAATCATAAGTCTTTATATTCTAACATAAAAATTATAGGTCTTTATACATGGCATGTAGTTGCTATATGTCAAATTAATATTGTTTTTGTGGGGGTCAAAAATTTTTCCATGAAGATCATTACATTAAAATTTCAACCATTTAGCTCCAGTTGCACTCAATCCTCTCTTGGATGGATTGCAGCGAACTGATGTCTTCTCTCAGAAGGACGTCTTGTATTGTTTAACTGCAACCCATTCAAGCAGATGATGGACTGGATGGAGGATATAGGGGTTACATGGGCTAGGGTTTTTGTCAAATTTGAATGGGCCTGACCTGAAGGCCTAAACCCAAAGCAGTGTAAAATGTTAAATTGGGCCAATGCGAATTGCACCCATAATAATGATGAAATTGAAACCCCATGTGTATATGCCCCATAATCCATTCTCCCACTTGGTAAACAGCCCATAACAGAGCAATCCAGGTTCTTTTATTTTGTTAATTATGTGCAAGATACCGAAAAGGGGAGCGAAGCCTTAGCATACGCAAGTGGTCGAGGAGGGCTGGACCCCAGGTGACATCCTGTAGAGAGATGGTGGGTTCACTCGACTAGCATCAATAAAGCATATGAAGTAACATAAAGGAAGGTTAAAGACAAGAATCTTTGTTAAAAGCTAGGTAATGGACTGTAGTAGGAGGCACTAATGAATGTTATTGATGCTTTTTGACCAATAATCCTATGAATGTAACTTAACCATGAGGATGATGAAGTCAATAAAGGGAACTAACAAAAAGATGTTAGCTAAAAACATATAGAATCCAATGTCTATTATGTCTTAAATTTCCAAAATAAGATGTACATACTTCACTTGAAGTTCCTTTGAATACCCATCATCATCATCATCATTTAAGTTTTGTTCCCATTATGGGATTATTTACGTAGACTCTGTTTAGTCTTATATCCCTTGTTAAATTATGAGCATTTAAATCATTTCTTATTATCTTCGCCTAGGTCTTTTTTGGTCTGCCCTACCTTTTTTAACCCTTTTAACTTGTGATAAATCAAGTTTTGTTGCTTTCTTTTAAACCTCAAATACCTTTAGTGGAGGGGCCACAACTTTTTTTTTTTTTTCAATTAGCAATATAGTTGGTTGGTGGTTGTATCTTTCAAGCATGCCCTAATAACAGTTCAATGTATATAAATATTGTGGATGGTTGTGATGGTGGCAGCTATTCTTTTTTTTTTTTTTAATGGGCTACTTAAAAGAGGGTAGTCTTTTTCAAATCCCCCAACCCTTCTTCTTCTTCTTCTCATCATCATCATCGTCATCATCATCATCATACCAAACCATATCGAAGAATAAAATTAGTATTGTGACTGCAGTCAATGGATTGGGTTGAGTCCAGGTCATGGCAAAGCTGATCTGATAAGACCTGGTAGTTTTAATCGACAATTATACTTTTAACCTGCAATTTGACAATAAATCTAATAGATAGATAACTTGTTCATGTATAATGTAGATCCAGACCCTTGCTTGGTGAGGGTCTGTTGATCCATCCGACCCATTGACAGTACTAAATGAAAAAAAAAACAAGAAATTAAAACTGAAGGTCAATTTACCAATTTTGTATGGGGTGCACTCCATTTTGTTCATCTATCTATCAAAAGAATCCATTTTATCCATCTAGCTATGGCGTTGGGCTGTTAATTTGTTGAACCATATTCAATTTTGATGGGCTACTGCCAGCTCAAGGGTACTAAGATGAGTATATTAAATTGATTTTGAAGTTTATTTTATAGCCTGCAATTCAGGTTGGCTGGTATAGCATTTTAGACTGACTTGGGCTTGGGCCTTCGTGCCGGGCCCATTCAGATTTTGACAAAAGCCCAAATTGAGCCCAGACAAATTAGTAGGCAATTATATCGATTACCAGTTGGTGACATCCAGTTTCATTACTAAAGTGTCATTGGGAACGAGCAGTCACTCTCCCTCTGGGGCCCATTGACAACAGTTTAAGTGGCTGAACTGAATTGCTTTATTGTTGCTCTAACTTTGAGGATGAAATATTTTTTGATAAAATAAAATATTCAAAAGTATGGTTATATCAACTCATCAGCTTCAGATTCAGCTTCAGCCACATTAAGGAGATCACAACCTCCCATAGTCCCATTGGAAACAAGTCATTCAGTTCACCATTGCAGCAGTAATAAAACGGCCCCTTAATTAACATGGATTTGCCTTGCCCTGCTTGTGACTGAATGAGTTTCAAAAAATGCTTCAGTAATCAGTACTGCCTTTATTCTTTATATCATAAAGAAAAGACTGAGAAAAGGACTCACCCTCCTTTCCTTTCTTTCCATCTTTTTAATTAGACATTTACACTTTGGCTAGATTTTACTTGCTTTGAGCTAGTTTGGACTTTGGAGTACTCGATGTTCTTGCTGCCTATAACTTTTAAGCATTGCATCTGGTTCTTATCTCTATAATTAGTTATCTTTTAGGGATTTGATGCTTAGAGGACTCATAATTCAAATTCCTGCCCTCTTTTACAAGTACATAATTAATTCAAAGATATTCCTTGAATCTTAAATCTAATAAAAAAAAATTCTCTTGCATTGAGTGAACCCAAAGCTTGAATGGGGTCCACAAGCTTATTCTTTAATTGTTTTATAGATGAATGTGACTTTGGTTTGCAATTATGAATGCAGAAAGCATTCTCAATTCTCAAGCATTCCTTGGACCACCCCATATACAAAACTATGGAATTAATCTTCAATTATTAGATATTAAAACAATCTCATGAGAGAGAGAGAAGCATAATGTTAATATATGTATATATCTATTAATGAAAAAGAAGTGGTTCCCTAAGCTATTGTAAGGACACCATTCACCTTGAACCATTCTGCTAGGAACCCCATCTTCCAACACATACAAAGACACTGGGGAGTAGATTGAGAATACCACAACTACATGGCTATACTTGTTACGAGAAAGCTTACAACATGCTCAAGGATTCAAGGGATGTCCATAAAAGAACATGGAATTCAACACTGACAACCCTAGGCATGTCCATAAAAGCACAAAAAGAAAAAAAAGAAAAGGAAACAAAGGTAGAGGACAAAAAGGAGTAACTTCAAATATTATATAATCTGCCTTCTCCAATTTGGTTGGCTCCTTAGACTGCAGTACCTGCATTAATGCAGACTTATGTGTAAGAATAAAGATGATAGGTTTTGGAAAATAAGATATATATATATATATTTATTTATATATAGATAACTATTGGATATTGTGACACAATGATCATTACCCAAAACTGTAAATTTTATGTTCAATGTGGAGGCCTATCTGTTACCAAAGTCCCTTGGAGTGTTGCATCTGAAACACTCCATCCTGCTAGCAAAGTTGTGCTCATTGCAGTCCGCCCTGTTGAAATAAAAAAAATATCATCATCATCCTCATCATCTAAGTCTTGTCCCAACTATATGAGGTCGGTTTCTAAAAAAAAAAAAACTATATGGGGCCGGTTACATGAATCCTGTTTCACCATTCTATTTTGTTCAATGCATAAATTAAGTAAATTAATTTAAGTAATTCGTCTATAATATTGCGTCATTGCTAAGCATGCATTGTAGATGTATAATGCAGACTTTTCAACAGAGGTGGATCAGGAAATTTTCCTTGGGGGGTTACCTTACTGTATGTTTTTTATTTTTTTCTTTGCTTCATAAAACCTATGTTGGGTTTTGATAAGTTTTTCTGTTGGAGGGGGTCTAATATAATATAAATAAATATTCATGTACATACATAAACACAGACATGCAGACAAAGGATAATGGAGTTTCCACCATTATAAGGAAATACAAATACATGCTCATACCCATATATAGAGTATAATATAAAGTATAAATAAGTTTTAAAAAAAGTGCAGGAAGAAAAAGATGAATGGAAGATTTGAAAACAGCCAATGCAACCCAATATTTGTTTCTGTTTCCCTACTTGCCTTAGGTTTTCCAAGAGCAGGCAGGTCAAGCAGAGGATAATGGTGCCTCCACAAAACCCACAGTGAAATCTTTGAAAAAAAAGGTAGAAATATTTAAAATTTATGTACAAAATTCCTCATCCAACAAGAAATGAAACCTGTTAATTAACTTATTTCACCACACCCTCCTTCACAGAGAGAAAAATGAAGTTTAATTACCTGGAGCAAAACCAATCACCAGACCTCCATGCAGAGCGGCCACCAGTGCCAAATCCAAAACCTCTTGGTCTTGACATGTCACCCTCATATCCACTGGCTGACTCATCCTTGAAAGCACCGCACTTAAAGCAGCTTGACCTGCTTGCGAAGTTATGAGCTCCGCAGTTCGCGGCGGAGCAATACCAGTCACCAGGCCGGACGTCCGACCCACCCCTTCCGCCAAAGCCTCCATAATCCCCTCTCTCACCGATCCTCGTGTCACCGCATCGTTGGCAGGAATCCCGCCAGCTGAAGTTCAGGTGCTGGCATGACCTGCAATTCCAATCTCCTGGCCTACTCATCTTCTCCCTGCCTGTAAATTAATTTACAACCATGCAATAAAAAGTGAAGTCAGCAAGAGAAAGAGGATTGAAGAAATTAAAAAGGAAAGATATCAACCTCCATATCCATCACTCAAATAGATAACAAAGAATTAAGAAACCCATCATGTACAAGTGGTCTCTCTGGGCTTTAGTTATTTATATATATATTATAGTGCCACGCACTTCTCCCTTATTAATTATTGCACTGGCTAGAAATAATGATGAACTGATGCTCAACCTCTTGAATGTGGTTTCAGTTATTCCGGCTGAAAGCGTGATGAAGAATATGAGTTGAAGACGCAGGAAATTAAAGGCTGTTTATGAACTCACCTTAAGGAAATGAAGGAATTGAACGTATACAAGAACGAAGGATGAGAGTTGGTGATAAACTGATAATGGGAGTAGTCGATGAGAAAGAAGAGTTTGTTGAGGGAGCTAGCTGGTGATTTGGTTGCAAGGGTTGGAGTGGTTTTTATACTTGTTTCCAACTCAACAGTCGGGAATCTTGGTTGCCTGTGGAGGGTCGTGAATGTTCTTTCTCGTGTTCTTCACAGTGGAATCACCAAAATGTGAAAAGATGGAAATTAAAGAGGTAAAGGAAATTTTGAGATATGGACTCCATGACTTAGAAAATTTTGGAAAATTAGATAAAGTTCTTACCTCTTTTGAACTGCTAGGAGATGGCATCATCATGCATGCACTCATAATCACAAATCCCATATGTAAATTCCATTATTACCCCTCTTTTTGTGATTCTCCATTTATATATCTCATGCTCAAAAGCTTTCGAGATATTATCTCTCTCCCTCTCTCTCTCTCTCTCCATTTCTAGAATGGGGTTTTATGAAGGTGGGGAGGATGCGTTTTGAAAGGGGATGAATGTGAATAGATTGAATCTTAAATCCTAATTTAAGTTTCTGAGTACACTTATTATTTAGTATTCTCAACCACACCATTCGTTCTGACTTTATCCAACATTGATTTAATACATCTCAAATCCTGATACTTTGGAACACCAGTACTCGGAAATATGCAAAGCACTATTAATATAAGGGTGTGGTGAGTGTCGTAGGAAATAAAAACATAACAGCCCATTTGTGTAGTTGTGTTTTCCATAAACAGCCACACCCAATTCAGCTGTTAGCCCAATCTATGTCACAAGTTCATAAATCAGTAAATCACAGAAACAACACATGTGACTGCTCGATTCTTGGTGCCGTAGCCAAGTCTCCCACTTGCATGCATTATGCCATCAGCCCATCAATGGGTAGCTTAGAATTTAGGCTCATGTAGTTCCGGTTCATTTGGGTTAGGATTAACGCCAAGAGCACTTGCCAAGGGTCACCATGGAATCTATTCTCTTCAACCAAATCCAGTGCCAATAAATTCTATTCCCTTCCTTTTGGCAATAATTCAAAAGCCACTTCTAGATTCATATCCAGTGCTATATGGTTGATATCCTGGTATCTGCAATAATAGCTCCATGTCTCCATCCTCGTTCTCATTCTCATCATGTGCATATTTGCGCATGGTAAATCAATGTTTTCCCATTATTTTTTGCTGCAAAAACAAAAACTGGATAGATTTTCTAGAGGGAGATGTTAGATAGTTCATAATTGGCATCTAATTGAGTCACTCCTCAATTATATTGATGAATCAAACTGAAGACTGGGCCTACTCAAGATGGGTCATCCCAAGGAAAAGGACCTATATCTATACTATATATAAAAGTGTGTAAGTAGAATGAAAGCTTTTATAGACTAAAATTACACTCTACTTTGTCTTGTTTGAGAAAAGGGTATAAGGGTCATTTTATTACAACTTTAATGACTATTAAAATGCCCATATTTGTGTATTTATTCCATGGGTTAGAAATGTAACTTCAATTATTACTTTCCACCTCATTTAATACGTCTCATTGAATCTTATACCTAAGGCTTTAACTCCCATTTTTTCTTACTAAATCATATATTTAATTTATTTTTCACTAACAAATACTAATAATTAGATGTATGCCAATATTTTTAACAATATAAACACATATATTTTAAATTTGACTAAAAAACAACTCCATTCTTTATCCAAGTGGTGGCTAAACAATTCAATCATTTGAACCAAATTGATCAACTTATGAAATCATAATTAGCTAATAAAATTTTTAAAATAGAAATAAATATAGAAAATTAAAAAAAACATAGAAAAATTCAGAAACATTCATGATATTTTTATTAATAAAATTAAAAGTAAGTGTAATAATAATAATTGTTTTTATTGATAATGAAAATGAAATACATAATCTAGAATTGACAAAAATGAAATCATTTTACTATTTGGCAAAAATAGCTTAACTTTTGGGTCAAATGTATTAACCTTTAATGTCATAAATAAATAATAAAACTTAATAAAATATAAAAGTACAAAAATGAAAAAAATACATAAAATTTTCAAAATAACATTCAAGCACATGTATAATATCATATATTTACCATATTGAACAAAAAGTAAGTGCGACATAATAGAATTGTTTTTACACACAAAAGTACAAAGAAAAAAATGAACACATATATAATTCTATATTTACACTACTATTAAAAATATGAATAAAATTGTGAAACTTTCTTTTGACTAAATTACTCACTTTTTAATTTAGTCTCTATTTAATTGTGAGGTTTAAATTGTAAATTGAACTACTACTTTTCACATCATTCAATTCATTCTATTTAAATCTTTTTTTTTGATATATTAACAAAAAAAAAAAAAAGATACACTACAAAAGTAAAACATTATAAAAGGAATAGTCTAGCCAAGCAGGTAAGCCTGCCAATGATACATGATGGCTGTTCACGGGTCGGGTTGGGTCGGTTTATTGGCGTTTTTCCAACCGACCCGACCTGGTCGATTTACCTAGAAATGAAACCGAAACTGGCCCAGTACTAAGTAAAACCGACCTGGTCAATTTGAATCGGGTTGGGTCAGTTTTGTGAATGATTCTCTCAGTATGAACGGTGAAGGATTCAAGTCTAAGAAAACAAAGGCTAGATGCCTAAAAATTAAAATGATTTGATGGATCAAAATTGATATTTTATATATTAGAATTTTTATATATAATATGTATATTTCTGAAATAAAGCTGAAATATATATATATATATATATTTTCCACAAATATATATTTGAAATATATATTAAAACTGAAATATATATAGTAAAACTGAAATATATCAGATATATATAATATCTGAAATATATTATATATATATATAATATATATCTAAGTCTGTTTGGGTCGGTTTCGTTTCGGTTTTCACACATGAAAACCAAAACCGAACCGAACCATCGGTTTATGTTTTTTTGTAACCTGAAACCAACCGATGCTGAAGAAAAACCGGCCAACTCGGATTGGACCGGACCGGGTTGGCTTGTTTGGTCGGTTTGGGTCTTGTTATGAACAACCCTAGCTAATGAGCAACTAGGGCTGTTCACGGGTCGGGTTGGGTCGGTTTACTGGCGTTTTTCCAACCGATCCGACCTGGTCGGTTTACCTAGAAATGAAACTGAAACCGACCTAGTACTAAGTAAAACCGACCTGGTCGGTTTGAATTGGGTTGGGTCGGTTTGGGTCGGTTTTGTGAATGATTCTCTCGGTACGAACGGTAAAGGATTCAAGTCTAAGAAAACAAAGGCTGGATGCCTAAAAATTAAAAATGATTTGATGGATTAAAATTGATATTCTATATATCAGAAATTTTATATATATAATATGTATATTTCTGAAATAAAGCTGATATATCCACAAATATATATTAAAACTGAAATATATCAGATGTATATAATATCTGAAATATATTATATATATAATATATATCTAAGTCGGTTTGGGTCGGTTCGGTTTCGGTTTTCATAAAACCAAACCGAACCATCGGTTTATGTTTTTTTGTAACTCGAAACCGACCGATGCTAAAGAAAAACCGGCCAACTCGGATTGGATCGGACTGGGTTGGTTGGTTTGGGTCTTGTTATGAACAACCCTAATACATGAAACTTCACAACTCGATAGTCAATTCAATTATCACATATTTGGATGAGGTGTTTATATAATCAGATTTAGATTTTGTAGTCTGCATTTGATTAATAATAAAAAACAAAGAATACATAAAATTTATAAAAAATTTTGGATACATTATTACTATCATTATCATCGTCTAGAATTGCCACATACAAAACACATGAACATTTATTAATATGATCCTCACCCTGTTGCCATTCCTACATATCTTATAGTTTTACATATTTACTTAAACCTACCTTATAATTTTTATTTTACTAAAACATCTCATATATTTTACAATTTATTTACTTAATCAATCTTTCATCAAGGAGTTTGTTTTGCCATTAGGCCCATGATTTTTTATTCCAAAAATACCCTTAACACTTTTTTGTATAAAAAACAAAATTGTCCAAATATAGCCAATAGAGTGCTTGCCTGTGTCTTATTAAGGACAAAAATGGTATTTTTATTTTCTTTTGATTAAATTTATTTAAATGAACATTATGATCAACACTGTCATTTTTCACTATTATCTAATGGAAGATTGATTAAATCCATTGCAAATTATAAGTGGTGTTTTAGTAAAATGCTAATTATAGGGTAGATTTTAGTAAATCCATGAAACTATAAGGAATATTTTATTATATGACCCTTTTCTATTATTTATCTTTCTCTTAATAAATCCCATGCATCACACGGGTCCCGCTAGTATATATATATATATGAGAGAGATACATAAAATAAAACAGGTGGAGATTGTAACCTCTAAAGACAGTAGAACTCATGTATGCAAGACCTACTAAATCAGCTGACCCCCTAGACCTTAGAATGCCCTTTGACTATGGCATTGAGGGGTCCACATTTTCTGACATGGGGAATAGATTCCAATTAGTCCACGTGAGCAAAGTTTGGCACAGGTGCTCCTGTGTTAACCCATGATTGGTTTAGCTGGAATCCTATCACCTCCCCATTTCTTTTACCTGACAAAGTGAATATTCCATGCACACATAAAAACCTCAGACAAAGAGACCCACTTCCTTATTCTTATCACCCAGTATTTTCAATGGGGTCATGCTTTCTTTTTCTATTAAATACTTTGTGAACCCACCACTTCCCAAGTCCTAATGGTCACTTAAATAGAAAAAATGGTTATCGCTTTTCAATTCTGAATATTCCCTTCTGGTACTTGAATTCATTTTCCAGTTAAGTCAACAGGATTTGTAAATGACCTAATTTCTTTAACTTGACAGAACAATCAAATAACTTTTTCATACTTAGTTGCCATTTTTTTAGGTAGAACACCATAGTAACTCTTCATGGTTTGAAGCAATTTTATTGACTTAATTCTATCTCTTTATCTGTCTCTTTCTTTTCCCGAAATCAGAATTATGCCATGCTCCTCATTTTCATTATCTCTGCACAGACTTGGGATCAAATCCGCAGTTCATCAGTAGGAGGTGAGGTAAAGGCACAATATGGATCACCCAAATCATTTATTTCATG